GTCAGACATCCCGCAAGGGGTTCCCGATTGGATAGGGTGCAGGCTGGGCTGACAGCCCCTCTCCCCGTGCACGAATTTTGTGAACTGGGCCACTAGTCCATGATGAAAGAGAATCATTGATAGGCCACCTCCTGCCCACAACCTGGAATCAAATCCAGGATCTTTTATTTCACAGGCCGATGCTCTATCCACGTAGCTAAATAAGCTAGGGCCAGATTGGATATTTCTTTATAGTCTTTATTTCACATACCAGCCAAAGTTTTAGAAAATCCAGAGTGCTGTTTTATGATAAAAGAAATGTTAGGTTTTTAAGAAAAAAATATTGTTAGTATAAAATATACCTGTGAAGTTACTAAAGTTGGAGATATTCTATTTGAATTAAAACTATGAATTGCAACTCTTTCATTCCTTGGTATTAGTTTACCCCAAACACTGGACAAGCAAACACATATACTTTTCCCTCATATGTAATGAAGAGGACTTAACCTTTTTTCCTCCTCCTTCCCATAGCTTTCAGCCGCGCCCCAATCCCGATGGCTGTGGTCCGCAGAGAGCTTTCCTGTGAGAGCTACCCCATAGAGCTCCGCTGTCCGGGTACAGATGTCATCATGATTGAAAGTGCCAACTATGGGAGGACTGATGACAAAATCTGTGACTCTGACCCTGCTCAGATGGAGAATATACGATGCTATCTGCCAGATGCCTATAAGATTATGTCTCAAAGGTAGGATACTTCTTATATTCTTTTCTTTGCTATAGGCTAATATAAACTCTCAACATGCATCTGTGTGACATATTCAGCACAAGTAAGAACATCAAACTATTGTGTTATTTTAGGATAATTTGAGCTACTATTTCAATATTAAACTATCCCCCATATCATTGAAATGATGATAATAGGATTGCAGGTCGCATTTGGAAATTATTAAAAAAATTTAGATTATTAATTATGTTTCATGGTCTACTGTGTATTCTCTAGAACCGATGAATCAAAATGCAATATAATAAAAGAATATTGATTAAAGATTATTTGGCGTTGGAAATAATGAAAAAAGTATTCTCTTAATAACTAGTATACAGGTTAATTCATTTAATACATTTAAACTTTCTAAAATGTTACCATATTAAAATAATATAAATTAAGGTACCATGTAACATCACTGGATAAGAAAAAGATGATCTTCAACTCGAAAAGGATTGGTCAGTAGAGAACCATACTATAGAAGGCTTACATTATATTAATTTCTTGATAAATGAGCTAAGTATTAAGTAATCAATTTTTAAATAATCAATTATTTTTATTTAGTGAATATGTTTTTTATTATGATTTCCTTTTGGGGCATTTCTTTTCTTCTGTAATTTAAGGATTTCTTAATATATGGGAGAAATCATGGCTTATGTAAAAATAAACAAATTGGAATATCAAAGCAAAAAACTATAGGTTTCATGAGTTGCTTCATTGTGCTTAAGAAAGCCTGTTTTATTTTAACCTTTTGTCTTTCGGATATCCTTAAAAATTCTATATATGTTTGTATGTGATTAATAAACTAATAGAGTCGATACCTTATATTTATAAATTTCTGATGTGTCAATTAATAAGAGAAATTATCACATGCCAGGATTTTGATAGTCAAAGTATGTGAGATATACTTGAAATATAGTAGTGAGTGTTTATAAGAAATAAGATTTTAAAATTGGGGATACTCTTTGATATTAGTTTGGTTGCATTTGGTTCTTCTTGTGTATCTCTCTCATTGTTATGTATTTGACAGATACCAACTATGGTTAAATTTTCTAATGTTATGCCTAAAAGAAGTCTAGTCATTTCATTGCGGTTAGATGTTACGTTGTGGTCTTTCAGGAGTAGTTTTCCATGAGTAGTAAGAAATGGGTGCTGTATTTGTTTCTGTCAGACGACCAAATTCTAGAATCCATTTGGGGTGTGGGTTGAGGGGGAGATTGTGCTTTTCTGTGATTAGGTTTTCATGTAAAATGTAGCAGAAACATTAACTTCATAACTCTTTGATCTTTATATGATTTTCATTGAAATTGGTTTAATCCTTTCATTGATATTATTAATGGCTCCCCAAATAAGCCCTTAATCTTATAATTATCACACAAAAAAATCCTCTGGAATCACTGAATTTTATGGGATGCATCTATAAAGTGACAATCCTGCAGAGTAAAACTGTTTTAAGTACTTTCAGTAAATCATTTGTGGAAGCCCTCCTGGTGGATTCTCAAGTATGATTAGCCAAAATAACTGTGGTTAATTCTCCATGGAGGCAAGTTCCAAACTTGCATTTGGACAATTAAATATGCTATATTTACGCTTGTTCAAAATAAATGCTTTTGACTCTTGGAGAGAAGAAATCAGGTTCCATCTTGTAAGCTCACAAGAGATAGAATCACCATGTCTACTTAAGCTGCTTTATAATGAACTTTCACAGCCACACCAATGACAGAATGCTAAATAATGCTAATAATTACTAATGATGATATGGGCAGTTTAATGCATTTGAACTAATCATAATGGAAAACATTTTCTAAGAGATTAATTATTGTTTTCTTTCATTTAAACTACTAGAAATATACTGTATCAGAGTGTAAACATTTTCTAAGCATGTCTCTAGGTAGGAGGATTATTAATAAAAGATTATTTGTGTATCCTTGCATAACCTTGTTAAAATGGCTTCATAACTTCTTTCTGCTTCATAAATTAGACAGATGTGGCAGGCAAGGACAGACATGAAACATTTTTACATCATGCAGATGTTTGCATACACATTGAGCAAATGCATAAATACAACTGTATTCAAACATATTAGTAAACATGAAAAAAATTGGGGACTTGAATTGAAAAGTATGTGATAATTTATTGGCACATTTCTCCCCAGTAGAAAAATGCAGTCTGATATCTGCTCTAGAAAAGTCAGTTTTCTCCCTGCATTTCAGAATGCACCTCCAGTTCTCAATCCAAGTGTATCCTCCTGCTATTCTGTCTGCACCTCCTGCAAATTTCCTGTGCTGTGCCTTTCACCATTATTCTACTAGATGACTTGTTAAACTGTCAGAACACATTTATTTATCCTTCACAGAACTTCTGACCTCACTCATTATCATCTGCATCCATCTTTATTGCATTTAAACATTTATAAATCTATTTTGTCACATTTTAGATGGTGGCCTTGTCTAAAGTAAATTGTAGGCTTCTAGAGGCCAGACTTTCTGTTCATCTTACCTAAAACGAACTTTTGATGTGTAAATGAATGAAAAGAAATGCTGTCCAATTTTGTCATGTTACTTCAAAACTTTTTTTTTAAATGTCTTTATTGATTTTATAGAGAGAGGAAGGGATGGAGATAGAGAGTTAGCAACAGTGATAAGAAAGAAACATCAATCCGCTGCCTCTTGCACACCCCCACTGAGGATGGAGCAAACAACCTGGGCATGTGCCCTGACCCGAAATCCACGCCGTAACCTCTTGCTTCATGGGTCGACGCTCAACCTCTGAGCAACACTGGCTGGGCTTAAAAGATTTTTTACCTTTACTGATTTTTATTTTATATTTACACACCTCAACGTGTTTAAAAAATAGTACATATAACTTTAGAATCTGAAAATGACCATTGTAATGGTAACCGCAGAAATTTTGCATTTTGAACTCAGCTGAGGTTTCACGTTATCTTGGGTATTAATGGAAACATTTCCATTTTTGACTCCAACAAAACTTGAAAGTCCATGATATGCAGTTCATCATAACAGTTACTCTAGAATTCTCTGAATAAATAAGTCAGACATGGTTCCTGCCTCAAAAACTATAGGCTTTTTGGCCAATAAAATGCAAACAGTTATATCACTTGCTCAATATTTTATTTTTACCTCATTTACATTTATTGAGGAGTTAAAAAATAAAAAGCAGGAACATTCTTTCAGCTAGATATTTGTGGAGATATAGGTGTTCATGGAAAGGAAGTGTTAAGCTGGTCCGTAAAGGATGAAGGCATTAGTGGAACCTGAAGAGACCAAAGTGATAGTAGATTCATAAGTGGATTAACACCAAAAACAGAGTACAGGGAAACAGCCTCCCTTCAGTTACCTTTCCCCATTCTTTTCCATCATGGCTTCACAAGCTTATTGGTGTTCCACCTAATCTGTATAGTCTCTCTAAGGAGTCTTCCAAATGTGCTACAGCTTGAGGCCACCCCCCACCCCTATCTGTACCCCCAAATCCTCCCCCCCAAACCCTAATAATTCAATGATAAACTAGCTTGATGCCATCATTCCCTTTTTTGAACTCCTTCTTATAAGTTGGACAAAGGTGTGGAATGTTTGAATATCATATATGATGCCATCATTATGCCATCTTTTGATGACTCATATTTTAAATATGTTATATAACAACTTTACACAGAATGGAATATAGCTTTCAAATATAAAAGGCCTTTGTGAATGCATATGCAAATATGTTTATGAGTAGATCAGGAAAGTTGTGAATTTGTGCATATTGCAAGTGTACAACTCAATGACTTTTCACCATGATCATCCAACTAAAAACCAGATGAAGATGCCCCACCTTGTGCCCTGATATATCCCCCAAGAATTGTTCCTATTCTGACTTTTAACACTACATTAGTTTGTCCATTTTATAATTTAAATAAATGGATTCAAATAATATCTGCTTTTGTGTTTCTGGCATTTCTCATTCAATGCATTCACCTTTTTATATAACTTCCTTGAACCATTTTTATATACCACGAATTCACCCATTGCAAGTGTATAAAGATAATTTTAGTAAATTTACCAAGTGGTACAGTCATCACCATAAATCAGTTTTACAGTATTTCCATCACCACTGTAAGTACTGCATGTCCATAACTGTTAAACTCCATCTCCTTTCCCACCGCATGCAATGATTAATCTGTCTTCTGTTTATATGTCTATCCTCAGTGCCTTATTTTTAGTCTAAAAAATGAATATTTGAAGTTAAGTTTAGTGGGCTTTTCAAGAGAAACAATATCAAAGAAATATTAGTATTTATTTCTGGAGACATGGAGGTAAATACAGAATTGGTCAAAAGTAGAATAGTTGTTTATACAATAATACAATACAATAATTAATAAACAATAAACAATAATAAAATAATTAATAAATAATAATACAAGAATAAACTCTGTTTTTTGCAGGATCACAACTGTAAGTCTACTCTTGTCCCACCCTGTATGTTGCCTGCATTTTAAATTCTCTTAGAACCTAAAATCATGAATCTAGACATTTAAAAAATACCATCTTTAAAGTTTTCTATCAAGTAGAGATGTTAAATGAGTCTTTTTTCTATTTAAATGAGTGATTTAATTTCTTTTAGCAATACTACATTTTCATGTGTCACAGTCACATTAGGAACATGCACAAAAGAAAAGAGAGAGAATTGTTTCTCACGTTTCTGAAAAAGTTATGTTGCAGTAATATCAGTATCACTGCAGAGGATTATACAGCTTTCAAAGATCTTGGCTTCTGTTGGATTCATTCCTGGTGAAGTTAAGAAGTTTTCAATAGTAGTAGTAGAAGAAATATGGGTGGAGATTTTTTTTATGTATGTAGCTGAGTAAGTGTTCTGCAAAAACTGTATATACATGAGTTTTTCAATGGGAGAACCCTTTGCTCCTTTGACAGATTACACTATGTCTTGTATTTCTCTTATGAATCATAACAGATCAAAAGCAACTCC